GACGAAAAATGTTTACGATTACGGATGCACGGGAATCTTCGAGAAGCATAAATTACTATTCTCGTTCCAAATTTGCACAAAGTTGGAACAAAGTATAAAAAACGTGACCCAACAGCAATTAGAATTTTTCATCAAAGGATGTATCAGTTTGGAGAAGGCGCCTAAGGTTAATCCTACGGAATGGTTGCCAGCGTCTGGATGGGCGGATTTGTTGAAACTGAGTACCGATTTCTCGGAAAAATTTGGAAATATCGCGGATGAACTCGGTACGCATGTGGATGAATGGCAAACAGTAAGTGAAAATCAAGTATTCTAACTTCGAATAGTTCGCATTAGTTCCCATAAAAAATAAATGTTTAATCTTTCAGTGGTACGATATGGATTCCCCGGAATCCGTGGAATTTCCCCTAGATTATTCCAAAAAGTTAACTCCTTTCGAGAAGCTCATGTTGATGAGATGTTTTCGCGTCGATCGAGTTTATCGAAGCATCGTCAATTACATTACCGAGATCATGGGAGAAGAATACATCACCCCTCCGCACATTAGTTTTGAATTAATCTTCGAACAGAGCACACCCACGATGCCTATCGTTTTCATCCTAAGCCCTGGATCCGATCCAACCTCGGAACTAATGAAATTGGCTGACAAATACGGCTGTGGCGGTGGAAGATTTAAATATTTATCCCTTGGCCAGGGCCAGGAAATTGTATATCGTCATCCTGATCAAATTATTTGTAATAAGGTGAGAAGAAGAGATTTGTAACGCGATATTGTTTACTTTTCAGACCGCAAAAGAGTTGCTAGAGGGTGCTGTGGCTAGAGGACAATGGCTCATGTTGCAAAATTGCCATCTACTCTTGAGTTTCACCAAAGAATTGGAAAAATTGTTGGAGAACATTGGAAAGCCTCATCCAGATTTTCGTTTGTGGCTCACTACCGATCCAACTCCCAATTTTCCTATTGGAATATTGCAACAATCTTTGAAAGGTACAGATAGGAACAAGTTGCTTGCAATTTCCTCTGAATGAAAGAATTTTAAACAAAATTTTCAACTTAGTGGTCACGGAACCACCCAGTGGATTGAAGTTGAATCTTGAAAGTACCTATCTAAAAATGAGACCACAAGTGCTGGAAAGTTGCACTCATCCTGCTTACAAACATTTAATTTACGTGTTGGCTTTCTATCACGCGGTCGTTCAAGTGAGTTAAACTATTAATTTATATTAAAGTATATTATATATTACGATGAATTCATCGTTTTTAAAATCATGATCAATTAGGAGAGGAGAAGGTATGACAAGATTGGCTGGAACATAAATTACGATTTCAATGAGTCGGATTTCAACGTGTGCACCATTATTCTGGATACATATTTAACCAAAGCGATTCAAACGAATGATAGTAAACTTCCTTGGAACAGCTTAAAGTATTTGATCGGTGAAGTACGTAAATAACTTTTGCTCCCAAATTCTAACTTGAAAAATTGAAATTTTCACGAAATAATAACGTAGGTAATGTACGGTGGACGAGTGATAGATTGCTACGATCGTCGAGTATCCGAGACTTATATGGATGAATATTTTGGAGACTTCCTTTTCGATAGCTTTCAACCCTTCCACTTTTATGTGGACGAAGAATTCGATTACGTGATACCACCAGAAGGGGATCGTGATGATTATCTCGAGTTCATCGATCAATTACCACTTGTCAATACTCCGGACGTGTTTGGATTGCATCCAAATGCCGAAATTGGTTATTTCACTCATGCTGCGAAAGAAATGTGGATCAATCTTATAGAATTACAGCCCCAAGCTGGTAAGTAATAAACTTACTCTTCGTAATGAGATCTCGATAATCGATTCGAAATGATAAGTTTGTCTATTTAAATTAAGAATCAAATTATTCCTTTATTTAGAAATTAGCCCGACTGGAATAAGCAAAGACGAATTTATCGATAATCTTGCGAAAGATATATTGGATAAAATTCCTGTCGAGTATGACATTAATAAAGTGAGAAAAAGTTTTGGACCAATCGTAATGCCAACCTCGATCGTTCTTCTTCAAGAATTGGAGAGATTTAATAAATTGATCAGAATGATGAAAAGATCATTGATTCAATTGAGAAAAGTATGTATCGATGAAAACATACTCCTTTATTCGTATAATACTTTTCAAATACTTTAATCGAATATTTATACACATTGTTAGGCTATCGCTGGAGAAATCGGAATGGATATGACTCTTGAAAGTATAGCCACAGCGTTATATAACGGTGTATTACCAAGTCAATGGGCCATGCTAGCACCAGATACAAAGAAAACATTGGCTGGATGGATAGAACACTTTGAGAAGAGGATACACCAATACAATAGTTGGGTAAGATGTTAACTTAGAATTCATGATTCGAATTTTCTTCTTTTTTTTTTTTTTTTAATATTACTAGGCTACTACGGGCGAACCCATAGTTCTCTGGTTATCTGGCCTGCACATCCCAGAAACTTACTTGGCAGCTCTTGTGCAAATGGCCTGCCACAGAAACAATTGGTCTTTGGATCGATCTCTCATCTATACGGCAGTGTCGAGATACACCAAACCCGAATACGTAGAAGATAAACCTGATCAGGTAATGCAAATTTATTAATTTGATTAAAAAAAAGATAATTTACGCTGATTTTTTTTGTCATTTTATAAATAATTCCTAATTAAATAATACAGGGTTGTTATGTGAGTGGATTATATTTGGAAGGAGCCAGATGGGATATAAATGAACAATGTCTGAAAAGATCGCTCCCGAAAATCTTGATAGAAGAATTACCGATATTAATCGTCATTCCAATCGAGGCTCATAGACTCAGGCTTCAGGCAATGAATTAATTTTAATCAATTCGAATATGATCGATCAAAACTGTTTAGATTAATTAATACGTACGATTTTATGAATTACAGAATACTTTTAGAACGCCGGTATATACCACATCTAATAGAAGAAATGCTATGGGAGTAGGTTTGGTTTTTGAAGCAAATCTCGCTACGGCGGAACACATCTCTCATTGGGTGTTGCAAGGAGTTTGTTTAATATTAAATACCGATTAATCGCAATTAGGATTACAGTGATATTAATTACTTTTTCTTTTTTTTACAATGAAAACAATATAAAGACGTCATGTACAGTAGACATCCTTCTAATAATAATATATTAAAAAAATCTTTCTAAAAATATCTCTCATTGTATTATATTTATCCAATTTCATATACAACAGAAAATATATACATATATAATATATATGTTTAAAGATTATTTATTATTTCTACTTATAAACTTAATTTGAGGCAAACATAGATTGTAAAAAGAACTGTCGATAAAATTATTCAAATTTTGCCATTTTATCCAATGATAATTTTTCAACTGTTCAGTCGTTCGTGCTCTGCCGATAAAATGTGGATCTAAGATTAAAAAATATGTATTGTTGGATCCTTCATGGACTCCTAAAACGCATTTGCTGGAACAATCTTTGTCTCCGCCCATCATGATTGGACTACCAAATTCCTCAAAATGTTTCTTGATGGTAGGAATATGGTCCCGCAAAGCTTTACCATTTGGAACATGCACAATTTTACTGAGAATGTCGTATAAATGATTCAACACGAGGCATACCTACGGAATTCATACTTCGAATCAATTTGTTTGCTTCTATCGTATTTCACAGAAGAGTATTCATTGTTTGTATCAATGAGCATATCACGAATGTTTAACATTCTTGGGTTATCGCTGTTTTGATTAGAGCGTTGAAAATAAACTTTATAGAAATTAATGATTTTCAATGTTATAATATATTATAAGTATATCAGAAATTGACTACTAGTAAAAAAAAAAAAGAGAAAAATTCGTGTAAACGAATTTCGTGAAACGATGAAAAATATAATGATAAGAAATATTTATTATTTTTTTAATTAATTTCTATAAATAAAAATGATAAATCAAATATACGCATAATCGATAAATATATATATATATATAGTTCGGGTAAATAAATTTTATTCTTTCATTATTTTTATATAAAATATTTTAATCCAATATAAAAATATTTATTGCTTTAAAGTATTCGGTAAAACTTTCTTGCGTGATAATATGTAATTTGTTAATTAGTATTAGTAAATTGATAAGTAACAAGTTTTAGGTTATAAATCACTATATAATAATAATAATTTAATTATACAACAGAACATTAATATTTATTCAGAAAATAGACTTACTTCGAAACTACCTATCCATTCCCTCGATCCAATAAATGGTTGTTCCTTGTCATTCAGCGTGACGAGCACTTCCTGTATACGTCTGATACTTGGAACAGATTGTTCCAAGTTCCCGTTCTTGATAATCCACGAACATATTGTTTGTAATGTCCTATATCCACAACCCCAACCCTAAATTCAACATTTCATCTTTTTTCTCTTTTTTTTCTTTTTTCTATACAAAATTAATCTAACAAAATGACAACCATTACACACCTTATCGTTAAAACCATCGCAACAATAATGCCAATATTCGTAATCTCCTTTAACCAAGAAACTTTGGCCAATTTCCGGTAAAAGAATATTCTGATGAACATTTCTCAACAGATCGCTTGAATAATTGACAGTCATTGTTTATTCAATAAAAATTATCGAACAACATCCGTATAATACCCGTTCCTTTTCACTCGCCGAACCACGAAAAAAACCAATCTACTTACTTTCACGTCTTTCGTAATCGTGTCTGTTCGAAAAAGTCTAAACAGAGCGTAGGTTCGTACGTAATAGCAAATAGAGCGCGAAGCTTCGTATTTCCCGGTTTAACAGCGATTCGCGGCCATTCCGTGTATTTTTCTCTCAACACCTAACCTATCTAATTGGCTCGCACATCGTCATCGTTGTAATATGTAATGATTCAGTGAAAGCGTCTGCCAAGCGAAGAAACCTTTCATAATCTAAGCAACTGTATAGTTGGAAAGTCGTTATTTCCTGTGTAGAAGATACAGTGTAGCCTTTATGATAGGCGATAAATTGTGGCGTCACCTGCAAACACGTTTTTTCGTTGGTTCGTCGTTTTCGTCGTGCAATCGGATATTTGATACAAACGGTAAAGTACGTAATACGCAGTCACGCGCACTTCGTTACGCGTTCATCTTACTGGTTATCAAGTATACGCTCTTTGGTGGCTCGGTGTGGCGTTTTTGTGAGCGAAAAAAAGAAAGGAACAGACCGATCAACGTGAAGCTGATCGACAGAATGGATACTGGAATCTCATAGCAAAATGACAATTGATTCGAACGACGAACGTGCACGAATAAGGCGAACCGACGTATAATTGGGCGATCAAGGAAAAAAGTACTGCGCGAAATACTTGCAACAAACAAAACGTTGAAGACGGTGCGAATCAAAAGGCGAGTTACAATTTTTTTTGCACGAAGAAGATGAGATCGGTGATTTTATAGGTACACCTAATGGGTAAGTCGCATAAATTGTGCCCGTTTATTTAATTAGCATGAACCAATTAGAAGAATTTCCCGTGATTTATCACAGTATCGTTGTGTCAATTTGACAGGTGTACAATAGGCTTTGCCATTTATCGATTTTTCACCGATTAAATAATAAGAATTCGCGTTTATTTCGCGGGAATAAGTTCGTAGCTGATTTAATGTTTATATATCATTGTCTGAATCGGTCATTGCTTTCTAATGGTTTGAAGGTCATCACTTGGGAATACTGCCAAGTAGTTTAGGTTATGTTTATTATGTCACTTTAATTAGCGAATGATGCTTTGCAATAGTTCGTTTAAGTGTTTGATTGGTATAGATAATTTAATTTATATTTTTTTCTTTTTATTGGACAAGGATTGTATAATTTCGTAAGCGTATTGCATTTTCACATTATTAATATTAATAATAATAAATTATCATCTGATTTACGTTATCTGATATATTTCGTTATTTGTTTGTTTACCAGTGAAAGATGAGTTGAGACATGATTTAAATATAAAGTATACAACAAAACGAGAAATATGTATGGTGCAGTACGTGAAGAAGTATCTGAAAGTTGGTTGCACACGTATGATTTGAGCAGTACAATGATTCCTAATGTTAGTTCACCGATGAACGATGAAGAACACTTTTGCAAGTTCATCTTATACAAAGAAATCAAAGATTCAAGGTAAACATTGATTTTGCAATGCTTTGTATAGATTTCCTGATCCAATTTATTCTTTTATTTTCCAGAGTACGAATATGGGACATTGTCATATTGATACCAAATCTCTTGTTTCTTTTATTTATCGCAGTGAGATTTAATAGAGCACGGCTTAAATTACGAGCAACGAGTAGTCCAATATTTTTAGCATTTTATGGACTTGTCATTTGTAATGTAGTGATTTCAGTAATAAGATGTATTGTTTCAATGACTGTAAATGCAGCAGCCACTGTTGGTGGTAAAGCAGACAAAATACTGTGGGTAACAGTGAGATTTTTTCTGTTGTCCACAGAGATGAGCGTGGTTATATTTGGTTTAGCTTTTGGTGAGTTGATTTTGAAGTTGATTTTGTTATTTAAAATTGCATATTAAAAATTTCCTATGTATGTATGACTGTTTATTTGTAGGACATTTGGATAGTCGCTCAAGTATTCGTAGGGTATTATTCGCTACATCGTTAATAGCATTGGCTTTTACCATAACTCAAGGAACTTTGGAATTAGTTATACCAGACGATACATTCCATATTCCCAGTAGAGATTTTTATGTGTTTGGTCATGGGGGTATGATGTTTTGGTTTTGCAGCAGTCTTGTTTTTACAATGGTAAATTTAAAATAATTAAATACCTTTATACGTCGATTATAAGCAATTCTAGTGTTTATTATAATTTTGTTACAGATATATCTTTTTATATTAATACTGCCATGGACACGGTTACGAGACCGTTTAACCCTTCCAAGTAAGTTGATCAATTCGTTCAACATTTAACGCTTTTTGTATTAATTTACACGCTATCTTTTGTTACAGCAAGAAAAAGTTTTTACGTTTACACCGGTACATTAGCCATGCTAGACTTAGTACAATCAATCGGAGCAGGCTTCTTAAATTATACGCAAAATCCCATAGGATTATGTGTCGTGGATTTTACCGCAGCGGTTTATTTAACCCTGTTTACACCTTTGGTTTATCATACATTCCTGTCCGAATTCTTTGGGTAAGCTATCAAGTCCAGAAACAATCGAATATCCTTGAAATTTACGTACAAGGACAGACAATTAAAATTTTGTTACAGGGTTTCACAACCTTCGATAATGTTCTCATACAAGGCCCAAGTGGACGATGCAATGGACGAAGACACGGTGTCGCTGCCTCATCAACAGAGTTTCTCCTCGTTAAAAACCGACAGCGATTATATTTATCAGGTCCATACTCCATCTATTCACATGCCCTTATACGATTCACAAGCGTTAAAATCATCCCCCTCAAAGCATAAAACCTCTCTGCACTCCTTAACATCCACCAAAGATTCTAAAAATGGTAGCGGACACACCTATGAATCTCCAACCCCTTTATATCAATCCACGTCTGGCATTAAAAGTTTTACAAGACGTCTGAGCGGAGAAAAGAGCAGTTCCGACTTCAAGAATTATCCGTTAACGAAATCCGACAATTTTATCGATTACAAAAAAAGTACGCTGGATCTGAAGTTCACTCACAATGCCTGGAAGAGCAGTTCTACATCGCAATTTAAATATGGCGGACCCAGTAGCGTCTCGAATCTTTTCTCGCCAAACACCGCTAGTAGCTTCTTGTATAAACCCGGCTCGAACGATAGCAATACCAATTTGTTTTCCTTAACGACAAAGAATAGCTTGATACACGAACGAAAACGATCAGAGGGAAACGTGCCCAGCCAATTATTCGATATTCCACCTTTAGAGAATACGTTGCAATCGATTCTGGATAACAGTACCAACGGTTCCAACGAGATGAGATATAGCACGTCAAACGAAGAGGCTTTCGTGAAAGATATCATTGCCCAAGCTTCGCATAATATAGAAAAAAAAGAATCGAATTTTTTGAAGCAATACACCGATACCGAAATGTCGGAGATCGACGTAGAAGACACGTCTGATGCTTTACAACACGTCACGCAACAATTGTTGTTCAAACCTGTTTCTTCAACGAGTGAAGAGATGTTGAAAAAACAGAAGAAGAAAGATACGAAGAAAAAAGAGTCAGGTGGATTGAGCGAATATTTATTATCTCTCACATCGCCGACTGTGAATGTACAGTCAAACGAGAAATCTATCGAAGTAGATCCTAGTCCTTCTCCCTCCGACACTAAATTTTATACACAGACTGAATCGTTGTAAATATTCATTTTAATAACTGATCTATAAAGTCTAAGTCACTAAGTGTAGTTGTATATAAGAGAATTTTAACCTTTCGATTCGTTTTTATCGATTAGGATAAAGTGAGAGCTCGTATTAGGATGGAGAAACTAAAAATGAGAAATGCATATTTGTTAAATAACTATATCATAGATGTATCATAGTGTAAAATAGAGAAGCGCACAAGATGCTTTATTATTATCTGTATATATACAGCATGTCTAGATTTAATTAAACTCATTAATGTAGCCGATGCACTTGGTTTTATTTATTTATAACTAACTTGTGGCAATGGAATAACGCTAACATTTTTGTTTTGTGTTGCAACCAATGTCCTTCACACCGAACCTTATCATTCGCTTTTTTTTTTTTTTTTTTTTTTTTTCTTAATACTTTCAGATAAAGAAGAGGAGAAAGAAGAAAAACAATTATATATGAACATATGAATTTATTTGCATTCAGCTTGAAAGTGTACAATCCTTACAATGTATGTGTGCTATAAGTAGTAGTGGAAATTTTAACGGTCTTTGCACGAGATAAAATATTCTTGGAAATGAAACGTCGTAATTTTTTTATAGAGTTATCTAAATTAAACTTTGACACACACTCACACACACTCTCTCTCTCTCTCTCTCTCTCTCTCTCAAAAAGTGTTTACAATCGAGAAAAGTTTGATCAAAAACATTTTATATATATACTCTACTCGTACTCTATTACTCACTCGTTTATGCGAAAAGTGCAACGAGAATTGTTCTTTTGTTCACAGAATCACAGTGTCTATGACTCGACCCAATTCGACACAAATTCGACACCGGTGAATCCACTTTACGCGGCGTCTCTCCAGAGCCCGGATAGCATAACCGGTTACAGTATAGACAGTCAAGAAGGCCAAGCCCAGGCAAATGGTTATCAACAACAGTGAATCGTCAGAATCTGGCGTGGCTCGATTCACCAGTCACTCGCATGGGATTTCAACGTTCATCAAGTTCAATTTCACCATTCGAGTTCAATTTCATTGAAAGTGAAATTACCGCGTGAAATCCACTGGAAAACGTGTTCGAAATCGTTCGATTCTCTTCC